AATGACTATAATTGGAAAAATGTAGAAGTAACAATTGGGTTTGAATTTGAACCAAGGTAAACAAAGAAAGAGGGAAATAATGATGTGAACAAATAAGGATATTGGTAGTTGGAGAAATCAATATTGAGAATTTATACTTCAAAGTTAGTTCCCACTCCATGATATATGGTGACAATTTATTGTTAGAAATCAACATGATTGTTTAACATCATCCATCTCAATGATCAACCTAAAAAACAAATCTTGCTTGAAATTACTCATTTTCTATTTAAATATTTGTACAGATTATCTAATCGTACACTATTACGAGTTGAAAAAAAAAGTATTCAATCTTATTATAAAGTAAGTTGGAAAATGTTAAGTTAGGTGTGCCACTTTACCATATCTTTTAAAGTAGGAAATGCACTTTACATACTTTACCATGAACCCTCTTAGTCTCTTTTCATTGGCTTCTAATTTTGAGGCCTACAAATATTCAAACTTATTCTACTATGTTACTGTATTTTGTCATCCACAAAACACTTGATAAAACTACATGCACGTGGGTGTTAAAATACACATTTTTAACAAATAATAAGTTTTGTCTTTCCTTCCTTCTTTCAAAGAATTTCTTATTTTATGTTCTTCATCCTTCAAGTAAAAAAAAATAAGAAAAAAAAATCATCAACAAATTTTTTTTAATAATCTTTGTATAGTACAACATTTAACTAAAACTCATAATCGATAGTTGAAATGGTTTAACAGAAAATTTTTATATAATCAATCAAAGAAATGTCAATATAAACACGAAGACACATGATTGTCCGAATAAACGTCTCAAACTAAGTACAATGATTAAGAAATCAACAAAATAGAATTAAGAACGTAATATATGAATTACTCTCATAAGTAAGGTTATGATGTCATTAAACTATAATTCGGTCTCATAAAATATTAAAGTTCACCAAAAACACTATAAATAGAGGATGTAAGTAAGGTAGTTAATATTGTTTTTCATATACATTTATTAGACAGTTTGAAATAAAATAAAAAGAAGAAAATATATTAAATTAACATTCAAAAAGTAATAAAATAAAATTCTCTCAGCTTGTAACAATTTAAAAAAAAATATCAATAAAAGTAAATTACGACAAAAGAACGAAAATAATGATAGTATATTAAACATAAATACTCTTAACATAAAAAGAATATCTTAATCTAAAGATAAAAACTATGATAGTTGTTCATATGAAAGAAAGAAATTCGTTAAATATATCAATAAAGAATATAAGAGGATATCCAACAAGTATATAAATAATAGGTACAATGAAGACAAAAATGTTATTAAAAAAAAATGAAAAGGAAAATCATCGTTTACAAAACTTTCGTCCCAGAACCAATATGATCTGATGATAAATGAAATCCCCCAGTTTAAAAATCTGTTCTGTAGTAAGTACGTGAAAATCACAATATTTTTTCCCCTTCTTGCTCCGTTTGATACTCTATCAATATTTATATATAAAGAATATTCTATTTAGTAATTGCTCCGCATCGTTTTTTAGTGTACATATTTCAGTGCCAATTTTACTCTTATTAATATAACTATTTTATTAATTATTTTATCTTTTAAGTTTTGTATCTATTTGTTTGTAAATATTTTTTAAGAATATTATTTTTTCATAAATTTAGTAAAATAGTTATTTTTTAATAATAATTAGAATAATTATTTTTTTATTTTATAATAAGGTAAAAATAAACGCACAGTTTCCACTGATTTTTAATAATGAATTTTTCCTTTAGCACCTCTCTCCCGTCAACTAAGGGAGATAAATGTTATATATGATTATTCCTCCCGATCAAAGGGAGCCCATAAACCCATTATAATGACATTGGTGTACTTGAATTTGTGGGGTCCCTTTTCAATTTAAATTGATTTGGATGTAATTTTGTTTCTGTTTCATTTTTTATTTCATTGACGGCAATAGGAAGGAGAAGAATGGCGAATAGAAGGAAAAGAAGGATAGTTTGAGAAAAAACAAAATCTCACATTCGAAAAATATTTTCTGTAGAGTTAATATTTTGAATAGTATACTTATGAGATGACTGTCTGGTTAACATTATACTGAACTAGTCCTAAACAGTCCAAATAGTTATTCATACCATAAATACAATCATACATTGTTTTTTAAATTGAAGAATCATTTTAAAATTTATAATACAAATTTAAAATAAAGAAGTAGATAATAATATTTAATATATATTAATAACTTAAATTATTAAATATTTATTGATTTTATTATCGAAATATTTTTTGTAAGTAACGTTCTTCAAATATAATAGACACGTGAAGAGAGATATTATGACGTAAGAATTAACACTTTGACAGTCGACAGTTTAAACAAGAGTAAACTGTTGACCTTATCCCACACTTAAAACACTTACAATCATACTAATTAAATTCTAAGTCCGGTTCATTATATATCAATCCATGATGTTTTAAATTGTTAAACAACATCCTTAGAATCAACGATTTATATGCTTTAAAATGTGTAACTTCATTACTATTTTGTCCTTAAAAAATATTTTAAAAGATAAAGAAAAAAGAATATTTAAATTTTGTTGATAGGAATCCGAATTATTACGTGATTTTACGTAGAGAATAGAGATGGAATTGGGACCACTGGTTATTTCATGATGAGCATTATGCAGAACCTCACACTCAAAGGAAAAGTTGTATATTCCAGAGGATCTAATCTGTGATGAAGCAACAGGCACCAGATATGTGAAACTGAGGACTCTGCATTCGGTGGTCCTCCAACTCTGCCTTCACAATTGGACAATCAGGACAAACAAAACCTCCTCTTTCTGAATCACAACCAGGGAAACTCACAAATCAATTTTATTAAACCCTAATTAATTAATTCTGAACTTCTTAAGCACGTGCTGCACCAACTTTAATGGCATTATCTGAACTCTCCAAAATAATGGTCGGACACAAGTTTCAAAGGATAAATTGAAATCACAATGGTCTGCAAGATCCAAAAACATTATCACATGTAATCATGTGACTACTAGCTACTCTGTAGCATACAACTTAATTAATTAAACCCAGGGGGAATTATTACTTTACTTATGTGGATGGATGCTAAACAAATACTAAAGAATGTAACACCAAATTAATAATACGAACTATGAACAAAGATCCACCAGGGACATTCCCGGAATCTTCACACAACATTAAAAGTGCATGAATCATACAGATATTCATTGTCCCTCTTTTTCTACTCGATTGCCGCGACAAATGAGAATATAAGAAACGCTTCACCAAAAACCTTTTTAAACTCTTACCAATCATTTGCTTTATAACACATACTAATTTTATTCACTCAGTAGTAAATCACACACGGTTAAGGAAACTATCTGGTAAGTTTATGATTTTGCTGGATCCTCTCTTTGTCTGGCAGATTCTGAGAAAACATATGATCATTGTTTTCTATGATTATTTGTTTGAGAAAGACTAACGTGCTATTTTTATACATCAGAGACTTAAAATCTGACTTAAAAAATAACATCAACCCTCTCTCATACTGAATAAATATGGTACGTTTTTTCTTGTATGATGTATTCTCAAGAAGGTGTTTGTTTTTTGTAAAAGTAAATATGATAAGTATATATACACGAGTATATGTAATTGTGTATTGTACAGTGTAATGAATTCTATTTTATGGGCCCATAGAATAAAGTACGGCAACTGATACACATGTTGTTTCAGTTTACCAAACCCAGCAAAAAATCGTCTTTTTCACTGTAATGCTATCCTGTATCATTTGAATTTTGAAGGTTAAAAAAAAGGTAACAAAGCAAACAGTCACGGCAACTCTTTCTGCCATGGAAGTACCTTTCAGCATGTTTCTCTTATATTTTGGTGTTCACGAATCTCGATTCTGTTCTATTTTATTTTCATCATCCAAGAGAATGAATTTCTATTTTAATGGCAAGTTATATAGTATGGGTAATTCTCTGCAACAATACATATATATCAGAATGATTAATGAAATAGGTTGACTAAAATTTCCGTTTTCATTTTACTATATCTTAAAATATTTTTTTATAATTATGTCTGATAAATGTTGTACTTGGTTCATTATCTTGGCCATGAAATACAAAAGTAGTTTATTTTGCAAAGAGAGAAACATGTGTCTGAACACACCGACTCTATTTTTTCAATGTTTTTTCAACTACCAAGTAATGCGCAGAACTATAATTACATAGTTTGATCTCATCAATCAAATAAGCAGCATCTTGCACAACCCCTCCTACAAATACGCATTATGCAGATTTATAATCTTAGTGCCTGTTTGGTTCTGTATCTTGTGAGTTAGACGCATCAGTTTAGGAAAAAAGAAACAGGTTCTGTATTTTCCATTGATTTAATCGTATGGTAAACGCGAGAACCAAACACATGTTAATCTAACATGTTTAGAATCGAACAAGGAACATAATTATTCATATATGAACAAAAGCTATCAGTTCCTGTTTTCACGTCAAGACGTTCATTTGTTAGCTGACCTGATTTAATGACTCCGATTTGATGAACACGTGAATGCATGAATTTGATGACAGCACCAGTTGGTAATGTTGACTCAGACAGAAGCAACAATACAAGACCACGGAAAAAAAATCATCTTTTCCAAGCTTTATTAGTTCCATGAAGTGGAAACAGAAGAATCATGAATCACCAAAAAAACATAAAAATATTCAAGGGTCGTTTTCAAAAAAGGTTGGAAATTACATAATTAATCGAAGTGCAACTATAGCACGGGATCTCATAAGTCTTTCTCAAATTCAAAAACTTATCCACTTTAGGTTATTTTAGATATATTTTTAACTTGATTATAACATTGAAAAAAATCCATCAAACTTGTTAACCAGGTATTATATGGAACAATGTCAGCTTTCATTTTTAGCAATGCAGAACAAATATTGAAAATCCAATTGGGCAACCTCATCAAACAGACATCTTCAGGAAGGTACAATATGGTTAAACCAGATGTTCCAATTACATGTAGAGCTCTAACATGGGAAACAGGGAGCTTTTTCTTCCCTTTCCTTTGCCTACTTAAACAAGAAATCTAAGGTAGGTCAATAACAACATCACTCAGTTATGCATATGCTAGGCAAAGCAAGCCAAACTTACTTCAATTCTGAAGGAAAAACACATGATTCATAGGACACCACATAAAAGTAAAGTAGGAGGAAGCATTAGTTACAAGAGTAGAAAAAACATACAATTGATCACAAGTAAAGCAGCTAGCTTATGGAGATGGAGGCCAATACATTCCTGCATCTTCTATCCCTTCATAAAACCCAAAATGAAGCTCATCTAGCCTGCCTTCATCATCCCACATTCCATCATAACTGTCACTATCATCAACATAGTATTCACCCATGCCACCAGCCACAAAGTCCCAAGCCAAGTACTCAGAAGCATCTGACACATCTGAGAAATCATCCCATCCATCACTCTCGTAAGTGTCAAGAACAAAAGGCCCCAAAACCTTCAGTTTTGGGAATTTCTGCTTCAAGAACATGTTGTCCAATGTCACACCCCAACATCCCCTTTGATCCAAAAATTCAAGCTTTGGGCAGTTTGCAAGTATTTGGAGGACACCTGAAGTGCTGATAAGATGATAGGCCATTTCAAGATGTTTGAGCTTAGGCATTGTGGAGGAAATTGCATATGCTTCATCATCCTGATAAGGCTTGCCTGCAGTATCCAGCGGATGCATGTTTCGACACAACCCTTCTAGCAGTTTGCAGTTCTTGCCAATCATCTCAAGTGCATAGGGGCCGATTTTAATACAGTAGCTCACATCCAAGAAAGAAATCATAGAAAGCCTCCCAGCAATCTGTTCCACAATGGCATCACTCATACTGCTCCTTGGCAGCCGCAAAGTCTGGAGGGAACAGGCACTTGCAAAAGAGTAGAAGGATTTTGTGTAAGAAAGATTGCTAATTGGATGCAGCTAACTAGTAACACCATCTTCGCTAACTAACTGAAGACTATGTAATGTGAACTAGCAGTAGCAGCATTGGGACAACATCAAATGTGTCAAATTTATATTCTAATACTAGACTTGTCGGCAATTGGAACAGTGATTAGAAAACTATCTATCCACATGATTTACACTAAAGTTTAAAGTGTTTGTAATTAATTAAAATTGCAGAGTTCTGCTTACTTTTCAGCAATGAAAGTGAAGATGCTTTCAGTTTGGAGACCAGAAACACTGAGTTTGCGGAGGGATCCACAACTTCTTGTGATAAGCATCTCAAGTAGCCGATCGAGTTGGTCGGGCTGACATCGGCTGCTCCAATCCTTAATGTCTATCTCTTGCCAGCAGTAGGGTCCAGTTACTGCATTAGCCCATGATTTACACACTCTGGGGATCACCGTCACCCTGTCCTGAAGAGAAAGATTGGTGAAGATTACCCCTAGGGCATCAGGAATCAATTCTGCCCAACTTCGAAATTCAAACGCTTCTTCCATCCAATCTATAAAAGAACAAAATTTCAAAATTATGTGGTTTATAGTTCAGGTTCAAGCATCAAATACAAAGATGTATATATCAATGAAAAAAGTATTAACAAAAAAATACAACTCTCCACAGAAAAGGCCAAAAATAAAAAAACATATTGAATAACCAGATTCAGTGACTCACACATACACCAAAATATCTGTCCCAAGCATGTGAATGAATAGTTTAATTTTAAATATTCTCTGAATAATCAGTAAAAGGAAGCATCTTTCGGAAAGGGTTAGAGAGATCGAAAACCGGAAGACAAAGGGAATTTCGATAGCAAAAAAATCAAACTTCCCTGATTGAAGATAATTGAAAAGATCTCAACTTTACATGTTCATCTCACTACTCTCTAACAAGAAGAACTTGGGAATACATAACATGTCAGAACAAAAATTGCCAGAACATTTCCCTTGACAGAACAAAAATTGAAGTACATTTTTTTGCTTTTCCGCAAGAGAGCTTCCACAGGCTTGGGTGAATGCCAGAAATCACACAGTCCAAGCGATGGACACAGTCGGCCACCCCTCCAGGCTTTTGCAAAGAACGCCCAGAAGAAAGAGAGGAAGGAGAGAGAAAAAAAACAAGAAATTTAGTCTTTAAGGTAGCAAATACTGAGTAAACAAAGAATCCAGAGATTGATTTTCTTTCTTTTGTCTGAGAAAGTGAGGGGAGGATTCTTAGTTTTGTGAGTGAATAAACAAAAGGGTAGGTGGGAAAGAGAGAAAGAGAGAAAGAGAGAGAAACAAAAATAAAAAAGAGTCACATGCAACAAAAAGGTATGAGATTTAGAGTTACCAGAGGAAATCTTAGATGAGGAGACAGTGTTCCTGGGAGAAGCTGAATTATGGAAGCAGTGAGCGTCTAATCCGCCACATGCGCCGGGAAAAAGAGAGGAAAGGGAAAGCTACACAAGAAGACACGTCTTCCCACCCACCCTCCGATTCAATGCAACCACCAGCTGCAACAAGAACAAGAGTAAAGCCACAGTATAATAGCAAAGAAAGGTACATGTGTAATGTGTGTGAGAAGTCTGTAGAGTAGAGAGAGCGAAAGTACTGGTTGAGATGAAGAAATAGCAAACCAATGGATAGATAGAGTGAGTCCTTTCAACCAAAAAGGACTAGAGTATTGTATTTGCGTATAGCTGGAGGCTAAATAAAAGAAAACACACACAAGAAGCAAGATAAAATACCAATGAATGTTTTGTTACTGCAATACTCAAACTGTCAATTTTGTCTTAGCCCAGAAGATTTTAAAACAGCAAGAAAAGAAAAAACATTAAATTGTTATTAAAAGGTCAATTTTGGCAAGAAAACATGACAGATATTTAATGACATCGTCATCCCACGGTACCACCTTTTTAATGTCAAATAAAATTACTAGTAGTATTTAATACTCCAAAATAAAAAACATTAAATATTTTCATTTCATGAAACCTATTGATGAAAGAGATTACTGTTAGGAGAGTGAGTAAATGTAGAGAGAGAAGGAACAGAAGAGAACAGAAGAGAACAGAAGAGAACAGAAGAAAACAGAAGAGAACTCACTCACGAGTTATTAGAGTTAGAAGCGGGTTGGGAAAAGGGTTACACCGACACGAGTCGGTAGAAAAGGTTGACTGGGACTGGTGTTGTGTTGTGTGTGAGAGAACATTGTCCTTAAAAAAGAGGTTATATACTGTGGGCATGTGAAAATAACACGGGCGAGTGGTGAAGATTGAAGTTTGATGTTGACTAGAGGACAAGCTGTTGAATTTAAAAACCAAGGAGTTTCTATGAGGGTTACCAATTCTCACTAAGTTAGATTACAGGTGTACTATCTTAAATGCACCACTTAAATCATTTTCAAGAGTTTCAAAAAATACACAACTTTTTCTGTCAAAATTAACTCAGATTAGTTAATAAAACCACATGCAATAAGACTCAGATATGGAGAAATGTCCTTTAAATATCATCACAATTCATGTCATAATAATTTACCATATGTTTTAATTTTGGATAAAATCTACTAAGGTTACTCCCATCTAACTCATACTATTTAGTAACATTCAGTTGTTTTTAGTGTGTTTAATACTTCAATAGAATTTAGTCAAAATATTTTTAGTACAAAACATTTGCTTTAAAAATATATTATAAAATATTTCTTTATTTAAATTTTATACTTCTATTGTTTTTTCGTTTTAACTATGTGAACAAATGGTGCTTTACCTTAAAAAATAAATATATTTATTCTTATATATTTTAAATGTGTTTTATTTTTGTTAAGTTTGACTTTATAATTCAAAACATGAAAAGATTGGACCACTCTGTATTTATTTTGGAATTAATACATTCTAAAAACGGTTCGGAAATGAATGGTCAGACATTCATAGTAAAAGGAAAAGAGTGGTACAAAAAATTTCAGGAAGTGTAAATAGAAAGTATCCTTCAATAAAGCTCAATGACAGCTTGGCCCAAAACAAAATAATAATAATAATAATAATAATAATGATAAGTATTAATACTAATTTGTTGAAGAAAATAACTTTTAAAAGGTTAAGTGTTCTTTGAGAGAAAAATGTACGGAAATACGCGGAATATAAGTATTAATACTTGTAAAGTTTACTTTATTTTTTAAGATGATGTTAATCCTAGAATTTATCCTAAGTTCATTAGATTTATTATTTTACTATTTATCAAATTATTATTGAACAATTTATTAATGTTTAGTTATACATTTGGATTTGGATGAAGATGTATTAATATGCACATATTAATTAGATCAAATTAGTGTAAATTTTACATAATAAATTGATTTTATAAGATCTTGTTAGGTTTAAAGTTAATTTTTTAACATATAAAAAATTTTAGACTCATTTAAAATGATTATTTTTAAAATTGGATTTTTTTTCTTGAATGTATTTTTTAAATTAGTTAAAATTTTAAATGCATAAAAACATTTAAATTTTGAAAATTTTTGTAGAGGACGAAATTGGATTCTAGATTTAAAATATAATAATTAAAAAAACACAATAAATAATAATTAAAACAAAGTGAAATCATACATTGGTAGCACTAGTTATGGGATCGACCAAGAGTTCCCATCAGTCTTTTGAACTATTTGAACTGCCAATTTTCCAAGGGTGGAAGCCCATGTAGTTGTTTAGTTCAATCAGAAAAGAGCTCTGTGGGCCGTACATGGGCTGGTGGAAAGGGAAAACTAGCCATGACCCATAAAAACAGAGTCTCGTGAAGAAAAATAAATGATAAATGAAGAAGATAAATCAAGATAATTTTTTTATTATTTATAGTAATATTATTCAGTTTATAAAACATATATTTTATGTGTTCTGCACAGAGAAAATGTAAAAAAAATATATGAAAAATATAATATATAAATATGTCCAAGGACAACTTAGCCCAGAACATACAAACTATGAATGATAATTTAACTGATTATATTTTTGAAAATTTCAGGAGCACTTAGTGTTTTTTCAACACAATTTATTTCTCACTTCGTGTGGGTAATTTGGTAACAGTCATCCTAATCACTGAACAACTTATTCCATTACAACAAGAATTGAGTATAACTAATGGAGAAAAAAACTTGTATTCAAAAAGCAAAAACAAAGTTAAGGAAATGGCTGAGAAAGGACAAAATGTATGTGATGCGGAAAAACAAAGAACAGGACCTACTTGAACAAAGAAAGCATGTCTGAGAACATTCTTAATTTCTGCCTTAGATGAGATATTTGTACAGAAAGCTGGATGTGGGACAATCCCATCAAAGATAATTGGTTCCTTTCTAGGATTCAGTATATGCTTCCAATTGCTTTGCTGTAACCCATGCAAATCACATTTTGCTGTGTCCACATACATTATTTCTAGAATTGGACAATACTTCTCATTCACAGTGTTCAATTATTTTCGTCACCGTATTTTTATAGCCACAGCATAGTTTTTTTTTCTTCGTCTGAAAAATAACATTCCATTTCTTGCTAGTGATATGGATTAGGTTTATCTACTACTAAAAAGACTCATATATGTGTCTACATTGAGTACCATGGTTACCAGCTGTTACGGAATTTAACACCACAAACAATATACTCATCCTATCTCATCATATATATCATAACATCATCAAATTTAATCAATCAATGAATAGAATAAAAATAATCAAAAATAAATAATTACTTTCTTACTTGACATTTGAGTTTATTACTCACAAAGCTCCAAAAATACTAAATCTTATGGAATGCTCTTCCTGAACATATAAACCACGTCTTAACTATTTTAGTCAAAAAGATATTTATTTTAAGCTTCTAAAATCATATGTAAAGTCTTCTATAAAAAATATGCAAAACTATCTATTCAAAAGAAATAAACTTAGTCTAAATAAAATATTGATTGACTATAATTGTAGTTCTTTATAATTGTATAGATTATTAAAATATTAGAGAGAAGGTAAATGAAATAAAAAATACCTTCAAAAATATATAACCTTTCGTAAGAGATATAGATAAACTAATTTTTTATTTATAATTTTAAAATTTTAATAATAAAATAATAGATTGTTGTCAGAGTCCATTTAAAACGCATTCAGGATTCGTTTAGTGGAGTTCACGTGTCAAGAGGGGGGCTCGACACTCAGATGACGGACGCCAGGTGTCAAGCGAAGAGGATCCGGAAATCAGATAGTGGAAGACAGGTGTCAGCAGATGAGCGGACGCTCGTTTTTGACGTTGGAAGGAAAACTTTGAGTTTTCAGAAATCCACGCCATTCTCTGCATGCAACCTCTCCTCCAAACTCTGGAACTTCGTCTTCTCCTCCTTCTCTCTAAAACTCCTTCATCTTCTCTTTACGAAATCTCACCCTTTCTCTTCTCCGATCTCCGTTCAGCCATCGTAGAAGCACTTCCGGCGTCAAGAGCTTCCAGATAAATCGTTCGGTTAGTGAAGCTAAGCTGGTAAGTCTTTCTTTTCACCTAGTTGTTCGTTTTCCTAGACATGCAAACCCAGTTCTGGTTTCATGTGTTGATCACCATTCTCCAAATGAGTGGTTCTGAGAATGTTTTGGTTTTAGTTGGTTTAGTTGGAAAATTGTCGAGCGTTGAGGGTAGAAGAACTGGTAGTGGTGAACTGTATTCTGCCTCTGTGAACGTCTGGTCATGCTCAGAGGTAAGGGAAGCTTATTTAATTTAATTTGTATGTTGCTGTGCTGCATGAACGTTCGTTGATTTGATGATTGGAAATGAAATATGATTGTGCTATGTTCTGATGTATGAAATATATGAAATTTCTATGATATGGATTGTATGAAGTATGAAAATTGACTATGATATGAATATATGAAGTTATGAAAATAAATGTTGAGAAATTGGATTGAGATAAATGATTTTTGAATATGAAATTCCCGTGTACGTTCGTAACTGAACGGTCATTGACCGTTCGATTTTTCTAATAAACTTGGTTAGAATTGGATTCTTTCATTTGGGAAGAATCCTAGTTGAGGAGGAGTGTCTTCGTTTCGTAATAATGTGCATGAGCGTTTGGCCAAGCATAGTTGTTTCTTGGTATTCGGTTATAAACTTAAGTGTGTGTATATATATATATATATATATATATATATATATATATATATTCATTTGTTCTTAAACACTACTCCAAATGGTATCTTATTATATTTATCAAACCTTCTAATATAAGTTTAGTAGTGCTCGGTCTTACACCAAGCGCTCGTACTCGTTTTCTTTTATAATATATCTTGATGAAAATAACGTTCGTCCAACTTCAATAGACTTTTCTCTCTACCGTGCTCGGTTATTGACTGACATTCGAATTTCTAGATGTAAATTCAAATAAGTTAAGTATTTATAAGCGTACGGTTTAATCATGTGAATTCTTCTAAGTATTATTCTTTGAAGTGTCTGTATTCATTGGTTTCAGCCTAGAGTCTTAGCACTTGGCATGGTCTTTGTGGTGTTCGGTTTCAGCTCTCAAGAGTCAGTTCATTTATTTGGCTCACTTTGTAAGTAACGTTCGTTCTGGTCGTTCTTGTGATATAGAGTCGTACTCGGTTTCTTTCTCAACCCGATAGTAACCCTCTCGGTCTTAATCTATTCTGGAACTGGAGACCTCTCTGTCACGTTCCAAGTGTTCATTCTCGTTCTGAGTTAGGATTGAACGTTCGGTATCTGTTGTCCTTAATAATTTTTGTACAAAGATGAAATTGAAATGATTGATAATAAAAGATGAAATTGAGATGATTGATAATGAAAGATGAAATTGAGATGATTGATAATGAAAAATGAAGAGAATATGATATGGATGAAATGTTTTGGATTATGGACGAATGTTCTAGGGAGGAATGACTCATGAATGAATATTGAAATTGGTAAAGTATGAATGTGGGCATGCTAAGCTGGCGGTTCATCCTGATATTCCGTGAGTACTCGTCCTCATGTAGAGGAGGGTAGGTCATGTGTGGGAACGGCAGGAGGTCCTAGTCCTTATGGTTAATTTGGACAGATAGGACTAACCTCGGGTGGCAGCTGTTGAGGGTATCCCAGTTACTACATCACCCGGGTGCACAAACGTCGTAGCTATACAGATTTCATACAGTCCGGACAATCAGTCTAGTATTAGGCTTTGTATGAACGAATGATGAATTTATCTTGTTTGGTTGATTGTGTGAAATATATGTTTATACATGAATTAAATTATATAAGCTTACCATGTGTTTCCTGTCTTGTATGTTTTGTACGTTCGGTTGTCCTTCTGTTGCAATGATCATCCGTGTAGATGTGAGCAGAAGGAGACGAGCTGCTGGAAGAGGCGCTGGAGGAAGATAACTTAGTAGAGGTAAAAGTTAAAGCCGAGCAGTAGAATCGTTCGGTCAATAGTAGTCTGATAGTAAGGTGAATGCTCGATCACCTTTTCCCTTTGCTTTTGTTTTGACCGTTCGGTATAGGCTTTTGTAAACCGTTCAGTCAGAATTACTTATGACGTCTGGTCTTTCTGTAAGGTCGTTCGGCCACGACCGTAGGTTCTCTCTAATGTAAGACTGATCTATATTATTATTCAATGTAATTATTCTATCATATAATTTTAGACTATATTTTTGGAATGTTACATTTGTGATTTGTAAAAACTAGTTTTACTTTTAAAATTTTGTAAATCCTTACAATTTTCCTATCATATTACATCACTTCCTTAAATTTTCCAATGCAATATTTTATCTTTTACAAAACCTAAAACATATATGAAAGCGCCAATGACGCTCTATCTGCCTCTAGTTAAAATTCATTAAAAAAGTGTAAATCATAGTTATTTTATGGATCTCACTTTTAATGTGTTTTTCAAGGTAGAAAACACAATTTCTGTTTCTCAATAAACTTGATCCAACGATACAGAGAGGACTATAAAGCATTGGAAGAAGTCTCTGCAACAAATATATTTACACTGTTATTGACTGCTCAAAAATATATTTGTGGCTAGAAATTTAAAATAAGATCATGTCTAACATGCTCTATTTCATTCATCTACTGATTTCAGTAATGTTTCAATTTAAAAAACTAACTTGAACAGTGAGTTAGAAGTTTATGTTTACCTTTTAAGCTAGTTATCATTTAAATTTGCCAATTACATGCAGGATGAACATTGAGTTTATGTTAGAATGATAAACCAAAATCAGGGTACTGGTCAACACTTGAACTAATTATGATGTCACTGTCTGTGGCCCCTACACCTACCCATTTTCAATTACAATCTAAAGCCTCCAAGCAGCATTAAGTTTCAAAATTGCAGCATTTTCCCTCCATTGGCTGAGCATCTTATTCAGAACACCACTCAACTTCCATTAATGGTTATTCTAATTTGTCTAAACCCTGCATTTTTCTTTACCAAAGAAACTCATTAGCTCTGTTCTTTTGCATCCTTCAAGCCTGTCCATTAGGTATCCAAAGCTAAATATTTGTCTTCCGGATCAGTAAAATATTCACAATTTATCATTCCCCTATTTAAGGCTTTTTGTCTTAAAAGAAATGCAGTTTCTCCAAATGATTTGCAAGTTACTCATACACCACTTTATAAGTTAATATGCCCAAATGGTTCAGACCCACCAGTCTCAAACACTAGAAACCAGAAGCAAGAAGATTTAGGTCCAGAGCAATACTCTTAATTTTAAGATTAAAAGAAACAAATGGAAGAACATTTGTTTTTCTACTACATAGTCCTGCGTACATATCCAGAAGATATAAACAAATAAATGAAATAGTCCTACAAATTTGTTTATTTGAAGATTTGTACAACCTCCTAATCCGTGTGTCATAGAAGTGGCAGCCATGGATCATCATCGCGATCCTCCTCACACGGGAGTCGAACAAGAGGATGTTGAAGGATCATACAGAGCAGGAACAAGATACTTCCTCGCATTAGCACCATTCACATTGTAGCTGGCACCGGTTGTAGGATCAACCAGCAAGTCCCCAGCGTAGCCAGGGTAGGCCCCTTTACCGTAAACACCGGGACACGCAGACGAAGCTTCGAGCGGGGCCTCGGCCGGACCCTGGAAGTAGCCGTTTCCGAAAGGGTTGGTGGCGGTTCCAGCCAGGAGGCTAGCGAAGTTGATGACCATACCGTCAACTCCCACATCGTTGTTAGGAGCAATCAAAGGTGGATTCTGAGGCCCATAAATTGGCTGGTGGAAGGGCCACGCGCATTGACCCGGGCATTGGGTTTCGGAGTTTCCGACCCATATGTATGCGAACTTATAGTTCTTGCCACCCTTCACGTGACCCGCGGAAGCGGCAGACCCGTGAGTGCCACATCGGCTCATACAGAAACCTTCAACAGCCACGTCGGCGGATGTCAAGACAACGTTGATGGCGTTCCTCTGCCCCCCTTTGGAAGCCAGCTCGACAAGATGCTTGTTTGTCAGTGACTTTCCCAGCGAGTAACTTTCGTCGAGGATCTGATCACCAAGCGATAAGGAGAGAGAAGAAGCCTTCTTGGGGCTCAGGTGGTAGTACTTCTCGGTGGTTTTCCACCACGTGGTAACAGATGGTTGGTTGTTTGGAGTGACAGGAGACGAGAGCGAGGTAACGAAATCGGCTATAATGGCTTTTTGAGAGGGTTTGAAGCGGCCATACCAGATGAGGTTGACGGCGATTTTGCCATAGAGCAAAGGACCATTGTGGTAACGGAGGAGCCGAGACTGGTCATCGAGCTTCCTAGCCGCTAAGGAAAGGTGAAAGAGAGAGATAAGGAAGAAGAGAGGAAGGAAGCAGTGAAAAGAGATGAATGTGGACATGTTTGAAAGGGAAGAAGAAGAAGAAGAAGAAGTGGGTGTGATTGAGTGATGTGGAAGGAGGATAAGAGGAGAGAGGTATATATAGGTGGCAGTAACGGGCAGATTTTGAATGAGGTGGGTTTTAGCTGTGATTGTGGGCAGGGGGGTGGAACTTGGGGAGAAAGGAAGAGAAGAGAGATTAAAGAGTGGTTAGCCCCTCCTCTGCCATTTACGAGGCAGGGCTTGCTCAGTAAGTAAAGTGAGGGACCCTGACTCAGTAGCGTTTGGGTTAAGAGGTAGGTAAACCTAGTTTAGTGTGGTGCACGCGCGGGAGCAGAATGTGCTGAGTGGGAGGCGTGAGAATGAAGGCAGTGGGAAGCGGTTGGATAGGATTGAAAAAGAAAGAAGGGTTTCTGGCTAGGTGACAAAAGCGATACAGCTTGGGCCAGTTAGATTATTTCAAGGAGTGAGAATTCTCAGGTTTGACCCTCAGAATGGATAAGGGCGAGGAGGGGTTAGGTGAAAGGGAGAGGGTAGAATCGGAAAATAAAAGGTGAAATTATGAGAGAGACGTTGAGGTGACAGAGTGGATGAGTTTTATGGGAAAGCGGAGATGGATCCAACTGGCATTCACCCAATCGCAGTTTATGAATGCATCTAGCGACAGCATCCAAGGAAGCACGTGATGTAACAATTAACACCTTCGTTTTAACACATAACAAAAAAACATATAGCATTGTTCATTTGCTTTTTGAAAAAGTTGTAAAAGTGACCATATCTATCAGATTAATTTTTTATATATTAACACGTAAATTTTTTATAAGAACAATTTTTTAATTAAGTTATACTTTATAAATTAGGGTATTTTTCAGCCATGCTTAAATACCATTCATTCATACATGTAGATTATTATTTTATTTTGAGATGGGATGAGGTCAAAGTCACTCTTTATTTTTATTTAATTTATAGTGACTTAATCGTACCTTTCATAAATAGCTGTAGAAAATTAAAATATGCTTTAGTGTTACATTCATGAACTGCAATAAACTATAGGAGAATCTTGCCCTTTGCGCCTTTTTACTCATGATTGAGCTTCCCCACTCTAGTCCTTTTTTGTTTTTAACACGTCTTTTTAGTTTTCGACCTTAGATGTGTCAGAAAAAGTTTTCGATCTTAAAAAATTTACATTCCTTCTAAAATATAAATTTTCCTATGGTTTTAATAGTTAATGAATGAGACTTTTACATAAAACCAAGTCATGGTAATATAGTCCAACTAAAATTGTTATCTATAGCATTAAAAACAAATATTAGAATATTTATTTCGTGTTTGGTACGAATAGATCAAAGTTATTGTTGGGCATAACAGATGAATACATAAATTGAAGAAAGTGAGAAAAAATACCTTACCTTTATATACCCTATTTAAATATTTTCTCTTATATCAGATTAATCGAATTACATGTTTTTAAACCCTTTTGCTATTCTTTTAACTTTTTATCCCTCAGAACAATTAGAAAAATACTTTTATTTTAAATTGTAAACAGTCTTAGCATTATGTTGGTTATATTTTATAACTGCTGGACAATTTTTCGTATAACAAAATCATCTATACTTTTATCTCTACAATAAAATAAATAACTTTTTTTTTTCTTTTTTCTAACGTTTATTCTTTGTCTATTCATTTCACACGTTGAAGATGAATTATATTGTGTGTCGAACACGAATCATATCATTTAGTCTATATAAGTTATTAATTGTATAATTATACAGTATTACAAGAGTTTTTTGAAAAATGACATTTAGATTTAAAATATTTTATTATTTGAATGATTCGGTATACTTGTTGATGAGATGACAAAAGTTATATGATAATTTAAGTGATATTTCTGATATTAAAGTGTCTGATTATTTATACTACACCAATACTTTTACTACTCAAAGGGAGAAACTTGATCCTAGAGCTAATGTTTGATTGTTTTTGGAATATAATTTGAACACAAAAGGGTGTTTGGATTTTAATTTGGAAAATCGTAGTATAACTTTATCCAGAAACGTGCTTTTTTGATTAAATTGTTTTTTCCTAAAGGAATTGTGGTGTTAACAATGAGGATAGAGATCAAATTTAATTGTCTACATACAAAAATTTTAACATGTCTAGTGATAGTGAAATTTCTCAAACAAATAGAAACCAACGAATTGTTGATGCTCATCAAAACACCAGTTCAGACTTTGTACATAATGACATTTGCACCACACGGGTTACAAATCCTCTTTCCTATCTTAAAGATTATGAGGTAACAATCACCTATGCTAGTGATAGAAACACGATAAGTATCCTATTTATTCTTTCATGCATTATGACAAGTTTTCTTTGAGTTTTAAACATATTATTGATTCTATTGATGTTGATCGTGAACCAAAAAACTATAACAAAGTTTGCAAGTATTCTTATTGGATTGATGTTATGCATAACGATATTAGCTTTAAAAAATAACATATTTGGAGTGTCACTAGTTTGCCACAAAATAAAACTATGCTTATGTGGGTATACAAAATCAAGAGGAAGGATGATGGTAGCATAAATAAATACAAGACTAGGCTTGTTGCTAACATTTTTACAAAACATTTATCTTTTATGAATTTCAACAATATATTCTAAGGTGGGAATATTAAACTGCTACTCCCAAGAGGAAGGCTCTAAGCTTTAATATATTAATTATGTTTTTATAATTGTTAATTATGACACTTCTTTATACCTAATAATATTCTCACTCGATTTTCTTCCCTATTACGTTCATTTTTCATCTCTTCATTTCATACATTTTCTTCATAGATAAAATATACTGTGTACTACATACTTTACAATGATGAAATTCTGATAAATAAAAGTGCCAAAACATCCGAAAGATTATTCAATTTTTATATTGTAAATAAAAGTCTCATTGTTAAATAAAATTTGAATTTAACAAGCATTATATTTTTCGTTTTATGATCATGACTTCTCTTGAGTATTTATTTTTATTTTTTACTTTTTTTATTTTTTGTCTATTGAGATAAAACATTCACTATAAATAATAAATAAATTAGTCCAGACGTAATATAACTGTTTTTAAATAAGTTCTTTAACTAAAATTTCAAATCCACGTAATACAATAATAGCAATCTTGGCAGTATAACGCAACGCTGCTTAAATCATGAAGGTTGATTATATTATGACTCACGTGACATGAACCAGCTTTATCCCAAAATCGTGTTTTCTATATAAATCTACAAACCATTCATAAAATATTGGTTAAGGCTAACAACTATATTAAACTGTGTGCCGCCATTTATACAATTGACGGGCTATTTTACAAAGCATACATTGATTTTAAAATTTTTCATTTTATATTAAAAAAGTCATGCATCAACACACACATATTTAAGAATATTTATTATAAAGAAATAAATTATTGCGGGTGAATTACCATTTGCGCAATGTGTTATAATTTTACCTATAAATCCTAAGCCATACATACAAACAGTTAAAGTGCATGTGATGAAAATAAATAACGAATTGTTTAATAAGTTAACTTTTCTCTTATCAAGTTAGATACATTTCACCTATGAAATGGATAGTTTAAAATCACGAGAATAGAACTGTTATATAATTTTAAAGATTAACGTTAAAGTTTCATAGTTCACGAGGCAATGGTACTCTTAATATAGGTTTTAAATATATTATTGGAAATAAATATGTGTTTGATGTCCTCTTACAATGTTCTAAATTCCCGATAGTCTCAATGGTTGTTGTGGTGATGAATTCGCCTTTTCACAAAACTTGGCTTGATCCAAGTTTTTCAGACACAAACGTCAGTGTTGGACGAATCTAATAAGGTCCCACACGAATCTAACCCAACATTATTTTTTTAAAATTAATAATTTATCCCACAAGCATGACGATTAAGGTTTCAAAACCTGGGTGCTTTGACTTAGTTAGATGTATATTGGATTCTATGTCCGTGATCTAGAAAACTAATAGCTGTGTGGTGGAAGATGTAACCTAAGATATTAATGAAATGGTGTTGAATGGTGGTGTTTTTCCTTTGAATGTTTGGTGGAATTTATGAGAGTTTTGATTTGGGGGTGGTAGATACCTTGACCAAACAAATTCGGTGTGTTAACTGTACCCATGTGTTCCCAACTTTAGCACCCATCAAGCAAACATCTTACCTTTGCCTTATCTCACTCCCATAAAATACCAAGCAATTTCCTACAAATTAAAGAGCTGTCCTTAAATATACGACTCTATCAACTTACTTATTCAAGTAATTAAATTCAGGTTAAAAAAATTTAAACTATTTTTTTAATGTTGTGACTTAATGGCAAAATAATTTATAATTTACTTTCAAACTAATCCTTCATAATAAAATGCAAGTATAGAACTTTTTTTTACTACATTCAAGTATTAAAGCAGATTTTTCGTTCGTTTAAATACTGAATTAATACTTTTAAGAACCAGAATAATTTTTTCCGTACTCAAATAAAAAGAGAAAGGAAGAAAAAAGAACTTGTGTTTGGAAAAGACAACAAAATTACCGGTGGCAATATTGTAAATAAAATCACATGATTGATGTGGGTTGGTTAGAAAAACAAACATTACTTGCCTTTTTAAAGTCTATGGGTGGAAAAACATACGTCTTTTAATTTTTAAATTCATAAAAATTGAGCAAGAAAATATTTTAAGAGACTCATTAGATGTTGGTTGGTTAGAAAAACAGATGTTAATTGTCTTTTTGAAGAAAGAACAAACGCCTTTTAGTCTTCAAATTTATAAAAAATTGAGTGTGAAAATATTTTAAGAGATCCATTAGACGGTTGGTTAGAGGAACAAACATTAATTACCTTTTTAAAGTCTGTTGGAGAAAGAACATACATCTTTTAGTTTTCAAATTTATAAATAATTGAGCACGAAAATATTTTTTTAGAGACCCATTAGACCTTGGTTGTTTAAAGGAATCAAGGTTAATTAATTACCTTTTTGAAGTCTGTTAGGAGAAAGAATAGATGTCTTTTAGTTTTCAAATTCATAAAAAATTGAACGCGAATATATTTTAACAGACTCATTAGACGTCTGTTGGTAAGAGGAACA